TAATTAGGAATTAGCTAAATATGTTAATGCAGGTCAGATATTATATTAATGCTAGCCAGATATTATGATAATGCCGGCCGAATAATCTTATTTCGGGATCTATTAAAAATCCCGCGCGTGCCCATCTCTAGATATCAGTTATTCTTGTAGCAAGTAAATGGTTTCTCTATTGCCCACCTTGCACTATTAGGCTGGCTCTTCCCTTGCCCGCTTACCCAAATGCAAAAATAGAGAGAATATAACCACATGTTTCCATTGTTTCAGATAAGTGACATATGTTTGTTATAACTTACCAATTTTAACAAATACTAATTTTTTTTCTCTTTTTTATCAATCTTTTTAATAAGGTTGTACTGTTTGAGATCCTCTCATATTCTGAATGTTGAAGCTATTTTGATGTTTTAATAGTTAAAAGGAAGCTTAAGATCTTAACTATCTTTTAACCATTAAATCATCAAAATAGCATTAAAATTCATCAAGATATGAGTTATGAAAGTTATTGTATTGATTTTTTTTTAAAAAAAAATCAACCTGCTTGTTTTCTATCGACAGCAGCTGCCTATATAATTAATGTTAAAATTGAAAATTAATTCAGTTTGTTGTTTTACTAGTTTCGTCACCTTTCACCAGTTTCGCCATTTCGGCAATTTTTTTTTTTTTTTTGCCGAAAGTCGAAACTAGGTAACACCTTTAGCCAATGAAATAACTCTATACAGAAACATTAAAATTGTAATTTTTGCACAAAAGATTTTACGGACTGCTTACAGACGGCATAAATTCATGTGCTATTAAAATCCATTATATTAACTAACCAATCACATTTACACAGTCCGTAGAACGTAGAACTTTGATGACTTTCCCTTTAAACAGTTAGATACATGAAATTGATTTGTCGAAGCAAATAATTGGTTGACATGCGCCACTACGCGGCACATTTTATCGTATGATCTAATATTGATCGTGCAATTATGGTCATGTTTTACAAGTCGTGGTTGGTTAATTGAGTTTAATTTGGGAATGTTGTGTTTACGTAATAACGTACAAACAATACAAACATGACAAGAAGGAATCATAACGATAAGAGCTTGCACGATAACAAGTGATTAAATTTATACGTATGTAATAATTACTTTATATAAATATTAACGTTAAATTATAAATAATTATCTTTTATGTATTTACTTACGTTACGCCAAACTATAAGAGCCCTCTTTTTGGTTCCGAAACCTGTTCAGTCATTTTTGGAAAAAAGAAGAATATACTGTATTAATATATATTTTATTTGATCCTAACGAGCAAGTTAACGGTTTTATGAATTCTTTACATTAGAAATTCAGTAATATACGGTCTTTTTGTTAGCAATAATGGTTTAAAATAGCACTTTACTTTTTTTCTAAAAAAAAAAAAGTTCAAACTGTATATGTTGTCACAAGTCGTCTGCATACTATAAACCTTTTTTAGTTAAATTCACCTATGATAAGAACTTATGGTTCATTAACTTTTTTATATAATTTTTTATACACAAAGTAAATGGAATTTAAGTTTTAGAATTTTAGAATCATACCATTAATAAAAAAACGACTACGTATGTAAAATATGCGCAATGTTAATTATATGTTATTAATTTTATTTGGCTTTTTCGTGTAAGTGGGATATACATTGACAACAAACATTGATCCTTAATAGATCGGGATATAATATTAAAATTTTATCGTTTTAGTAATCCAGTGTTTTTTTTTTTTATCTTATCTTATCAGTGAGATAAATTTTCGTTATCATTGCTTATCTGTTCCGTTCATATAATTAGTTTCTTTTATCTTATCAAATAATTTTATCGATACACAAAAAACGTTTCTTCGGAATTTTATTTTTTTAGATGAGATCTTTTTTATTTAACTTATCAACGATAAAAGTTTTCGATCTCATCTAAATACAGACATATCATACGTACATACATATGTATGTACATGTGTTTATACAGTACAGTACTGCAGTATCAGTCACGATTTGTCACATGTAAAAATTTTAATTTATAAAATTTAGGTAAATTTTGCTTTTTTGACTTATTTAGCAAGAAGTTGTTAGTTTAATTTTTGGGTTTGAGTTTGCAAATTCTTTAACATTATAGGGTTCTTTTCATAAAATTTTAAGGATAGTTTATAAATAACATTGAGAAGAATCATGACCACGAAGTTAGCCAATTTTTTGACGATTTTTATTGTTTGTTTATAAGTAATACCAAAATAGATAATTAAGACCGTCAACTAAAATTTGCTTTAATTTTACATATGAAATTTAGGTGAGTCAATGATTTGACTCATAATTAAAAAATTTACACACATGATCTGCGTGGTGATCTTCTTTTGACGTGTCACTACAAGACTTCTTAAACGAACATGCAATTTCATCTAAGCACGTGTTAAGTAATACAGATAAACCATACTAAATTCGCGCCTTTGGGATTATATGCTATATAGCGATAGTTATTGCATGCGAAGTATGAAATAGCTGCTGATTGGTCTTATTCAATGAGTTTACTGTTTCAGCTTATGAAATAAGATCAATAATTTTATCACGTAAAAGTACATAAAAGAATTGATTTAGTTAATAGTAAGGCATTGAATAAAAGTGTGGATTTGATTGAGCATCTATAATGTACATGTATAGAGTTATGCACTTGAAGACGTCACTATAATATATATGGATGCATTTAGCTTAGAATTTCAGACAAAGTACCAGAAAATCATTTAAATGAATAACACTGATTATTAAATAAATCCATTCGTTTGACATCAATCAAAAATACTGTATTAATGACCAAATTTCAAATTAACTTAATGAGAAATTAACGAGCAGATGTTTTTTTCAAAGAAACATGAGCTTTATTTTTAATGATCTAAATAACATATTATTTACCTTTTTCCTCAGACGTATCTTTACAGACAATACATAGTCACCAAAAAAATCTTTATACATAGATAATAAATAATTCGAATGTAAAAACTATCGAATCAGTGATTTTTATTTCAGTTAATATTTTTAATGATGTCATAAATAAAATTATTATCAAATTTAAGATTGTTAATAAATTATTCTTTTCACACTTTTTAACTTTAAATCAAAAGTCTTTATTGATTCTACCAACATAACACAAAGAAACTTGTGGTAGACCTAAAAATCATTTGAAAACCATACCCATAAAAAAAATTTATTCGGTTCACAAGAAAAAGTATATGCGTTGTATATTGTTTGCATTTTTTAGATTATCCTAAAACATTAAAATCATCCTAAAAAACATTATAATTATCCTAAAAACATAATTATCCTAAAAAAAAATTATAAAATTCTAAATAACTATAAACCGAAATGTGAATGGGTAAAAAAAAAAAGATTACTATTGTACCATATAGGAACATATATAGAAAAAAAATTAAAAATGTCAAATTACATATAAGGTAAAAGAATAAGAATCACACAGTACCTATAATTCTTCTATCTTTAATATTAATTAAAAGAAAAAAGAAATAAAACTTATTTAAAAGCAGTGGCCACCACACCAACTTGTTGTCGGTCAAAAACCAATTCACTAACCCTTTCTTTAATAACCCTATTTCCGACACCACCTATACCAAATGCAGGACCAATTCTAGCAATTCTAGTAATGGTAGTTTTAAAGTAATTCTTTGCCAAAAAATTAAACCTAGAAGACCAACTAATACCAGGTCTATTATATAAATCCAAACCAAGTAAATGTATAGGGCAACTAATCAATTGAACAACAGCAGGACATAACATTTGAGAAAAGTTTTGAGAAACTTCAAAGTTCGAAAAAATTCCTCTATCATAAAATTCACGAGCCAATACAGAAGGTAAGTTAAAACTGGCACTAATAGTAAGGCAATCCCTAACAGCGAATAAACCATATGAGCCTAAAGGAAGACCTTTTGGAGCAACCATCCCGAACATACGAGTAAAGGCACGATCTTTGTATATACATGTTGTCATATTAGTTATTGTAGTACCCAAGAATTTTGGAGTTTGATTATCCCAATCTCCGTATGAACATACTGTGTCTATAATATTGGCAGCAGAATAAGTGCTGCAGTAGACGCCAAAAATTAAAAAGAATGCAGGTGTACGGACGAATCTGTGAGGACGGGAGAGTAGTTCGACGAAGCCTCGTTTTAAAGCAGCCCCTAATTTGTTTCTACCACTTGCATTTTCTATGATTGATCTAATTCATAATTAAAGTATTAACGAGTGGATATTTTATATTATATTAACGAGTGGATATACGGGAATATATGATAATTGATATGATAATTAGAAAGTGAAGATATAGCATTAGAAAACGAATTTATTAACAAGTGTAAATGAAAATAAAAAGATGTAATTACCTATCAACAATTGTTATAAAAGGAGAAACAGCAAATGCAGCTGAGGCGGCCGAGAATATATCAATACCAATTCGTTTAGGTATGTCTGAAGCTTTATCTTTATGCATTATCAAATTTAAAATTGAATAATGTGCGTGATCGCAATTTTTTGATTGAAAAAAATTATCATATAACAGCTTCGATCATTAATTATAATCGATCTCGAAAAAAAATTTTTTTTAAAAAAGATTGTTGAAAACGCGTATCCAAAAAAAAAGACGTAAAATCTACTCAAAATGTTTACCCAAAAACTTTAGGCATAGAATCATTTCAAAAAATAAAGAACCAAGAATAAGGGATCTAAATCATTAAATATCGAAAAAATTTTTTTTTACTATTCGTATTTTAATACAAACAAAAGAGACCAAGTGGATAAAAAATTCAAAATATGACTTTCTTGTGTTCTATTATGCAAACAGATCGTAGATCATTTACGTATAATACTATTGATAGTAGTTCGTGTCGCGTGGCTATAAACCAGTTATAATTATTGGCGGTGTATTTTGTGAAACAAAATATAACGTACAAAATGGACAATTGCCTTAAAATGACTTAAATTTTTTTTTTTATTTAAAAGTACAAAAGTATGGGTACAGGATACACAGCCTTTTTCATGCGATCAGATAGGGGAAAGAAAGTGATCATCTATCTTTTTATGTTAACCACTGATACGTATTTACATATCAAGTGATCAATGATTATCATTACAGTATACTATAAGATAGGTAATAATGACAATTTACTTAACTTTTCTATTTAGTGTCCCACGTGCCCAATGATAATCTGAACTACTTATCGTTAGCATTAGTTATTTCAATATTATTTTAGCTATACTGTATTGTTAAGATATACAATGATAATTTATAAGTTGGAAACAATGTTATCTTTACTATCGCTATAGCCTACAGATATGTTATCGCTACGTATGACTTGCAGATATGTTATCGTTATAACTTGCAGATATGTGCTTACATGCTAACATATCGATATATACAATTATCCTAACCCTTAAAAAGTAACATTTAACAAAGATTACTCTATTCGGTAATTCATTTTGCAATGTATTTACTTTATCCGCTTTATAATATACTTTGAATGGAGCTTATAAATACATATGTAAGTAAGTCTTAGATGTACTACCTTGATACTCAACATTCTTATAAAAAGCTTTTTTTAGTGATGATATATCTTTTACACAATATTTTTATTAGACTAAATATTTGTGATTTACGATAATCCTAAATTTTCTTGTTCTGAAAAAAAACAAACTGTACGTATAATATACTAATCTTAAAAATCAATCTTATAATCTCTAACTCTCATTATCTCATTGTGTACGTAATAATCTATCAAAGGTAAGCACTAAATAAAGTTTAAGGTTTGGCGCTTATTTACGATATATTACATATACGTATAATTAACGGCAGCTTTCATAATTGTTACGTATGTACTGTATAATGTCATTGTGGCTAAGGTTAAAGATTGTTTCCGTTAATTTCCGGGGGCGAAAATACAGATCATGTGGGCAGTGCCACTTGCCGCAATTATTAATAGCTGGATCCATTGTGCTATCGCATTGCATATTGTGCATATTAAACTTTGGTGGCGCCACTCACATGACCAATATTTTGAAGATTAGAGGCTAGACAAATAAGAACTGGGTGTAGGATAATGCAAAAAATTTCATATGATCTCAGAACCATTAAGCTATCATTTGCCAAATCGAATATGGCATAATTCCTATATAAAATGGATAAATATATATAGTAATTAATTATCGCATAGCGATAGTAACCGGATTAACATTTATCATACCCGGTAGAAACTGGATTAAATTTTTATCGTTATCTATTATAAAATTCATTAGTTACAATTAATTTCTTTAAGAACAAATAATGAAAGTATTATTCAGCGATTCGGAAATAGTAAATCAGTTCCCTGGAACCATTCCATATTTTAATAATGCATAATTAAAGGAAAAAAAAACTTTCTAACTATATAGCAAAATGTATTCAAATTATGGTTTAACATTTACACTTATAAACACTCTACCGTGAAATCAACTTTGTAAATATAAATAATAATAATAGACAAAATTATACAACTTGCTAATGTTTTATATTAGTTTACAATGTTTTTGACAGTGTTGCACACTTTGTAGACTTCAGAGACATTTATTTAACAGCCAATCAATTCACAAATAGTTCATTTCATAAGTATTTTATTTCACCGACAAAGTAGTTACAGTCATAGTTGTTAGGTTAAGGCTAGAATTATCTTTAAAGTTAGTGCAAAGTAAAAAAAAAAACTTGTATGTCATGTGAACTGATATCTATGAAGCTATTGTAGGTGATACGGAAACTTTACTGACAATTAGGGTGTTCTCCCTTAACGTTAATGTGATTAACTACCTATAAGAAAAGTGATAAGGGATGTGATACAGGGTGGTTTCTGTAATGCTCGTAGTGGCTCGGGTTTATGATACGTATAGGTTCGCTGTACGTTGTGGTACGTGCCCGAATGGCGCGTGATAGTACGATAGTGTCGCGTATAGGCTTGTTGAACGGCATGGTACGTACATACTAGTGATGGTACGTCTATGAAGTATATACAAGCTCATTTACGAAATGCTGAAATGATGATGAAATATGTACCGTTTTTGCAAACTATACTAGCAAATCTAAATTTATTTTGCATTTCTAATAGCTAAATTCATCTCGGGAATAAAATGTTTATATTTTAACTACAATTTGAATTTAGTCTAATTAGCCTTATCTATAACATAAAAGCATTTTCCAACTTTCAAAAATCCTACACATCTTTGTACCCTTGACACATCTACAAACTCATAATCACCAAATTCTTCAAAGCTACATAAGCCATATAATCCTTTTCGTACATTTTTAGCATTATGAATATATGCAAGTAGTTGATATTTTCCATGAAATACATAATGAAAATAAAAATGTACACGACCAAAAAATAGGTGTACTTCATATTTTTCAGTATTTTTTAGCTTAGAAACATTGATCTCAAGTTCATACTTCAGAAAAGTAAATATATAAATGCAGTATATAAATAAATTATAATGCGTATATTATCAAAACAAGCTTACCATTATGCATGACTTATCACGAGCATTAACAGTTACTTTTGACATTAATGAACAAATCATATAGCCTTCAATTGTATTAAGTTTAGCATATTTTACTTCCCAATCATTTAACTTATATAATACAGTAAATTAGTATTTTATTAATACATAATAAAAAATTTGTATAAATAAACTTATTTTTAAAATTGTTATTTTTTAAATTAACATGATAAAAGTTTGATAATGTCATAAATTCCTTGTTATTTGATGTATAATCTAAACTTGGTGCCTAAAGTTCTTCTTCACTGTCTCTAATCACTTGTGAGTTCTTTATTTAAACACTCTGGTTCCTATATCCACCCACCTACCTATTCTATTAACTGCTCTAGTTTTTACCAGTGCAAATATATTATGATTACTAGGTCTTTAAAGCAGTTCACTTACATGAGAAACCTTTGACCTTGTACTAAACTTACCAAAGCCTTCTGTTATACAATTACTAGCTAATCTGATATCATTATGGTTAAGACTAACATTTGCAATTAGAATAACCTTTAAACTGCTATACTCTTGTAGAGTTCATATAACCTCAGTGTTCCTCTTTATAATATTACTAGTATCTTGTATGTTCTTGCAGGTTCTCTTATACTATTAATATAGTTAACTCTGTATGATGCAACTTCATACTTAGTTCAACTGATAGCCAGATTAATGAATCTTTTTATCTAGAATTTTTATTTATATAAGTCACTTGCTTCAGATTTTTATCTTTGAATCAAGATTTTTATAAGTAGTATCATCAAAGATCATACTATCTCTTTACTCAGAATTTTCAAACAGAGTTTTTTATAGAATATATATTTTTCAGATTTATTTGTATAATATTATATGTTTTTAAAATTAGTCTTGATACAATCAAAATTACAAAGTTACAATTCCAGATATCTTATACAAGTTGCTAGAATAGGACTATTTTTCAAATTTCTACTATTAATAGGATTTGAATTCTGAACCTATTGCTTGAAGAATAACAATCCAACTACTACACTAGGATTACTATCCTTATTTTACTTATTGTTAATTATTTTATTATATAATAGTCTTTTATATAAATATTTATTAAAAATATTTTGATATGTATTAGTATTAAATATATAATTAAAATAATATCTAAAAGATTTTAATATTTAAAATTGGTATATTAAAACTTTAAATAAAAAATGATTAAATAATAAATAGCTAATTTTTGTGTAATCTTATTTTTCTTAAATTAAATACTTTATTTATATAAGTTATACAGAAATTAAGCCATATATCTATATATTATATATTAATATTAACCAAATTTTGAAGAGTATTTTTTGTTAAATATAATATAAAATCATAATAACAAAAAATTTTTAATAGTTCTCTAAAATTTTGTCTAAAATATAAGAATTTTTTGATTTTAAATATAATAATTTTAATATATTAATTATATTAGTTAATTTTAAATAAAAAAATTATTTATTAATATTATAATAATAAATTTATTTAAGTTTAAATATATATTTACTCCTAATATTCTGACTTAATTAATTATATTCACTATTGTAAAAATTATTAATAAATTTATTGTTTAATTAATAATTAATTATAAAAACTATATATAATATTTAAAACATTATAATCAAAACTTTTTTAAACATTATATAAAGAATTGTAGAATTATCTAAAAGTTTCTTTCTAATTCTAGTTGGCAGAAGTAATGATAAAATGTTTAAGTTAAAAATTTATTAAAAACATTTATAACAGCATTATTAGCAAAATTGGACAGTTAATGCTTACAAACTATTTCTATAAATTTATAATAAACTTTATTAAACTATTTAAGAATTGGTAGTTGTTCTATTATAAAAGCATCATTAGACAAAGCTTCTTCATATCTTCAAAATTATATTCTACTAAAAAAACACATTTGCTTCTTTATAGTTATTAGCATTACATTTTATTAAGAATAACATATTGCTAAATAATATTTTATTTCTATATTAAAATAAGATAATGCTATTATAACTTTATTCTAAATAATATATATTATTAATTATATATTATAACTTATAATAATTATAACTATTAACTCTTTAAATTATAGATTTATTAAAATATTTTTTAAAGTGCTATATTTTAAAGGTTGCCAAATATTATCTTCTAATTATTTAAAAATAATAATTTAATTTAATGTTTTTAGAAAATAAAAATAATTTTAAGATTTATATTTAATTAAAATAAATAAGTTTAAAATTTTTTAATTATGATACTTACAATGCAATATATTATAGAAAATAAAAAATTTAAAGAATAAAATATAAAAAAAGAAAATAATTAATTAAATATAAAAAAAAATTAAAAATAATAATTATAATAAAAAATAGTAAAATAATATAATAGCAAAAAAGATAAATAAAAAAAATTAAAAGTCTTAAACTAGCATTTCAAAGAGATAAAATAACTAAAAAAACAATTAAATATATCTTAAACCTCTTTTATAAATAACAACTAAAATAATTACAGCTTATAGTCTAACAAAAACAATAATAGCAGAAGATAAAATAAATTAAAATAAATAATAATATTATTAATATAATGCTGTAGTGAAGGACCAGGATTATGACGACCAGACCCAATGTACAGGGCAGGTTATGGGATCCTTCACAGCTGTGCAAGCCGAGCTTAAAACGGTGAGCGAATCTGTAGAAGACATTACAAATACTATCTCTACTTTCAATG